CCGGACGCTCTCCGCCGTCCGATCAAGTATCTAGAAAATCCCATGGTCCAGGTTAGTCTACTGTATGCTTTGCAGGGTCAGATTCCCATTCAGAGTAGCTAAATCTTTGTTTGATAAATGAGGTTCCAAAAGGGGAACAAGGATTGGAAAGACCATCCACCTTCCTTTCCAAGTCAAGTGCTTTTGAGGCCAATTCTTCAAGCCACTGAACTATCCGAAGGCACAACTGTGCTGTATGGTCATTTACAACAAATTGACAAGCCTCCAAATGAGATGTTGTTGGAGACTGCCCAAAGTAACAGAATCAAATAATTATATTAACAAGATGCATTAAACCTAAAATAATTGTTTCATACAAAAGACATAAGAAAGACAGTATCACCATGATGAATGTCGCAGGAACTTCTTCTGTAGCTGCAAGATGGAAGATATATCCTCAATAACACCATAGATTTCACAAATCAACCCCGGTACGATATTTAAAATTATTAACTGGATTAACCTAGACAATCTCACGCTTGATTGCATGAAAATATTGCCCGCAAGGCAATGCTCTATCAGATAGCACTTATCAAAATTAACACAATCCTCCCCCTCAACAAAACAGCCAGACAACAAGGAAATGGATCTGACCTTTTCCATAAAGACTCCACAAAAGGGACCAGGAGGCCGCCTCATCAAGCAAAAACTGCGCCTTTTGTCTCATAAGCTTATCCTCTACAACCCGGTGTCTTATGTTGGAACCATACCTAGAGAGGATAAGAAGACAAGAAAAAAACGAGCAAAAGAGCTTAGAGTTGAAGAATTTTAATGGCTTTAACTGCATTCAGCGCCTGAGGACATACCTAATTGATTGTGAAACATGTCTGCATGATTTCTCAAGTCGCAAAATTAGGTCAGGGATGGGAATCAATCCTGCAGAACCAAGAGATCATAATTGTTTCAAAGGATAACCAGTTTTTGTAGAGCGTATTCTAGCAAATAATTATAAGGAAAACCTACTAACATGAAATTACGATATCAATATACATCAAAACAGCCTAGCTGCAAGATCATTGATTAGTTTGAAATTTTAAATATTGGAAACCACATTACACTTGCATTCACAAATACTTGTTTCCACAGTCAATTTTTATCAGACGATCACAAATTACACAAACCTTGAAGAGCAGAATCAAATAGGGAAGCAAATAGAGCAAAAGTTGTGTCTCCACTCTCTGCCAACTCATCATTCTCGATCTTGCAAGTGTTCAATGAGTGGCTTTCTACTCGACGGAACAAAGCTTCATCATCAGCATCCATAATTCCAGAACTTTCGGCCACCGAGTTTATTCTGGAAGTAGAGAACAGTTTTGCATGCGTTCCTTCATAATGGTCAGTGTCAAAGCTGTCGGCCTCCTCTTTGATGTTTTCAAGAAGCAAAGCTGTATTAGTTGGACTATGAATGTTATGCCCATCATACAATAATCTGCTCTCACTGACATTTGGATTCATGCCTTCCTGTTGTGGTGATGTAGAGTGTCTTTTCCTGCACGTAACGCATTATTAGACATACATGGGCATCAAATGTTGCACCTCAAGCACACAAACGAGTAGGTAAACATATACAGTGATGCGGATGGAAACTATGGCCAGTTATGCGTGAGACAAAAGATAGAACAGAAGTTGTACAGACTGGTGTCCTTATGCAAATCTCGTCATCTCGATATAGAGTTCCCAAAACATACCACGGGAAAATTCAGTTACACAATTAACCCCACATGCAAGATTTCACGACCTAAAACCTCAAATCCTAATTCAAATGCAGTTCACCAATGAAAATACACTGCACCAGCAAACCAAACTGCGGTTACAGTCAACACTCGAATCCCAGAAAAATCACACAACAAAAACCCAACATTTTGCTGACAGACAAGCCTCTACACATCGTATGCCCACAAAATCGAGATATAGTGACTAAAATAGCAAAATGGGTATGCGAATTTCTTACCGATAACGGCGGAATTGTTCTCTGACGCTGAGGTCTTCGGGGTCGAAGTATCCAGGGGAAGTATCCATATCCATGTCAATCGCCTTCACCGACGGAAACTAATCCCAAAATACTACTGAAACTTGAAAAATAAAAGATCCAAGATTTCAACTTCAAGCGAAAACCTTTCAAGAATCAGAAGCGCGGAAAAGCTTGAACTTTGATTAGGGTTTTCGCTCGGTTGACCCTAAAACCCTAAAACCCTTCCCCGAGAGGAAGACTCCGCCGGCAAGAGAGAGAGCACTCGGACAGTCTCGCGAGCGGGCACGAGAAGGGACTGAACAAAACGTACCGTTTGAAAGGTCTTTGACGCATTAAAAAGGGTATTACCGTAATTAAGACAAAATAGGAGGGCAATTAAAAAGAACATCTCGGCTAATGGTGTAATTAATTCGGATAATTTGACAGTATAAAACAACCCGGCGATAGCGCAAACAGGAACGGTGGTTTTATCCTCAGAGAGCTTGAAAATGGCGGCGCTAATCCGCTGCGCCTCCTTCTTCCACCGACCGTGCTCCGGACGGTCTCCGCCGTCCGATCAAGTATCTAGAAAATCCCATGGTCCAGGTTAGTCTACTGTATGCTTTGCAGGGTCAGATTCCCATTCAGAGTAGCTAAATCTTTGTTTGATAAATGAGGTTCCAAAATCTTGGGGCTTTAACGAGATTCTCATCAGTTCCTTCGGGAACGTTAGATTTAAGCATGTGGGTTTGTGTTTGGTTGCCGAGAAAACGCAAGAAACGTTCTGGGCAGTAAACATCTGGGTGGCCCGGGTGTGCAATTGAAGGGGAAAAAGAGAGCCGAGAAAAGATTTATAAAAAACTTAGATTTGGTTTCCATGATGAACCACAAAGTTCACATTATCTTCCTCTTCAAGAATTCCACCTTTTTTTTTTGTACTGCAAACATAGCTTGAAACAGGGAGCTCATATAAGCTGTATCTTTTATTTCCATGGCAATTGGGTGTATCTAGCTAGAGACCAGTAGCTTGAAGATCTTCGTGTCTGAAGAGCATGGTTAGTGGGGTAAAGTTCAGTCCTTTTAGAAGAACAAACAAATGTAGAGATTTCTAGGTGTGATTTCTGATGTTGTCTCTGTGGTTTTTGTTGCAAAATCTCATCTGATAATTGTTCTTGATACCTAAGGAAGACCCCGGATCTTAGGTCTGAGTGGCTAACTTCTGAGCTGCGTATAAGTTTAGATTTGAAACCTTCCAAGCCTTAGGAGATGGCTGGAGAGATACAAACATGGTTAACATACATGTTCTTAGTTTGATGTTTGTATACTTGCTACATATGGCCGGGACCAAGGTCAAGTGCAGAGCTTTAGGAAATGTTTCGAAAAAGATGTTAATTTCTTCGTTAACTTGTGAAACATATGCAATTTGTGTACCAGGAAATTCACCAATGCTGATGCTTCTACCCGAGAAGAACGGGTCTATCATTCCTTCATTTCGGAACTCGCCAGTCACAAAACCCAGATCACGCCGTCTTATGCCTTGGACTAAACATGTGTCTGCAAGGCTCGAGGAGCAAGAGAAATCTAAAGAAATCCGGGAGATCTTCCAAAATCCAACCGCTAGTACGGAATTTTCAGACAAGTTTTCGGCTTTCAAGGTATGCTCGTGAGATCAGGGATATTAGCTACCATCTTTAGCGAAAAGCCATAAACAGTCTGTAGTTTGGATCTGAACTAAAATCTCATACCAAGTTTTCGGACAAGTCGTCAGTTTTTGAGGTATCCTGGATATTGGTTATCATCTTTAGCAAAAAAAAAAAAAAAAAAAAAAAAATTCTATCGTTTGGATCTAAATTAAAAGTCTCATGGGTTTTCGTTATTAAGTGTGTCTGATGAGAAGTAATGGCAGGTAAGTCGGGTGGCTTTGATAACCAACGCCCTTATGATGGGAACACCTCTTGAAGCATTGGCTGAAACATGCGAACCCCAACAAACCTCCTTCTTCAACATGCCATTGCTATTACTCGTTGCCCTTGTAGGAGCCACCGTCGGAGGTATCGACTTGCTGCTTTTACCGAAATACCTATCTTCACCCTCTGGGGTCTGACTCGGTTCGAGGTTCGTTAACATTTTTCGGTTCACGGATTAGGGCTACTCGCCCGGCAAAGGAGGGGAGAGTTGCAGAAGTTGAACGAACAACTACGTCAGATCAACACAGCTCTTAGGAGGCAAGCCAAGATCGAGTCTTACGCACCTGCCTTGAGTTACGCCCCGACGGTTGGAGCCAGAATCCCCGAGAGCGAAGTCATTGTGGATCCGAGGAAGCAAGAGTTGATTACCAAGTTGAAGAAAGGGAAGAACTTTCTCCGGAATCAAGAGCCTGAGAAGGCGTTTACCGAGTTCAAGACGGCTTTGGAGCTTGCCCGGAATCTCGAAGACCCGATCGAGGAGAAGAAGGCGGCGAGAGGGTTAGGCGCCTCGTTGCAACGGCAAGGGAACTATCGGGAAGCCATACAGTACCACTCAACTGTTCTGGCGATCTCGGAGAGAGAAGGGGAAGATTCTGGGAACACAGAAGCGTACGGAGCCATTGCTGACTGCTACACTGAACTAGGAGACCTGGAGAAAGCTGGAATATTCTATGACAAGTACATTGCACGGTTAGAAACAGACTGATTTCCCATCCATTGTTGTGTTTTTTTCCCTTGTCCTGTTCATGTCAAAGCATGTATAACAGAGACTTGCAAATCCTTTTTTTTTATTGAATGTTATCACTTCTTTTACAAAACCCGAAACCACAGTTAGGATACATAACTACTACTACTACAACAATAACAACAGCTACAACAACAGCAGCAGCAGATAACAATATATATTGATACGTACGTATCTGTAGACAATAGAGAGATCCCTGGACTGGACATATATAGAACTGACCCCGAGCAAGGTCTAAAACGCGAAGATAAAAAGGAATGAAAGAGGTATAGATGATGGAGGATTATTACCGGTAGTACATGAGCTGCTGGGCGGCAGCGTCATACATGGAAGCAGCCCCAACCCCACCGAGAGGAGCTGACTGCTTGAGATGGAGTTGTCCCTGAGGAAGCATCAAGGGGTTCACACCCGCCATCTTGGCCATTGCCAGTTGCCGCTCGTAGGCTAAGAGGTCAGCTGCTGAAAGGCCGGGCACATGTGCTGGGGCTGGTGGGGGTAGCGGGTTTGACGTCGTTCCTGGTGGGGTTGGTTTGTTACCCCATGAGCACTACAACAGTAGTAGTAGATATAAATTCACGAGTAAGTACCAAATTGGAAAACACAAAGTTCCACAGTTTCTAAAAAAAGAAACTTTGTTTGTTGGCGTTGTATTTGTTCCTGAAACTCTTGAAGTGTTCAGAATACCAAAATAAGAAATCATGAGAAGGAAACTAGTGTAGTGTACCTTTATCTGTCTGTTGAAGAGGTAAGGCTGAGAGTTGCCCATTTGAATAGCAAGAGCAGCCTCGGCATGAGAGTTATATCTCACAAAACCAAAGCCTTTGTCTCGTTGGACACGGACCTCTTCAATAACTCCAGCACCAAGGGCATGGAAGTGACGGTGTAGATCAAGCTGAGTAACCTGCAAAAAGATACAAATGTAACAAGGTACTGTCTACAGTTGATGCAGAGATTCATAAAGAACTTCCAAGAGATGTGTCAAAAGAGCTACGAAAACTAATACCTACATAAAGCCGAAATCTTACCTCAGGGGCAAGGTTTCCCACATAAACAGTGGTGTATTGAGGATTGTTTTCAGGAGCATCCTCATTAGCTATCTCTTTACCATCCTCTACACAATCAATGATCAAATAAATGTATGAGTTAAGTTCCTTCTTATCACCATCAGCTAGTAAAGCCTAGCACAGGCGTTACAAACAAGTGCTAACAGTTTTAATCAAGGTAATCCTCACAATTTCTTATGAAGAAAATGCAAAGAAAATTCAGAAATTGCACAACGCAAGGAACCCACAAAAGACAAACCTGAAGAGCCATTTGTAAGTTCCACAATGCTCTTTCCATCAGAGCTCTGCTTATCCTCACCGGATGTAGCACCTTTTGTCGCCCAGTTGCATCTGATCTGTTTGCTACCCAACCATTTACCTGAGATAAGGGAAGAATGAAGATCACAGTACCGATTAAGATTAGTGTGCCAGGAAGAAATATAAGAACTCGATTCTAGAAGCAGAGCCTCGTTAGCACAGAAGTTCTGAAAATTTGACAGTCATAGACTGGCAAACAACAAAAATTTGACTTCAGTCCCATTATAATACAGTTGTGTGCACATCTCAAGAACATCAACATGGGAAAACTAAAATTCACAGATGAAAACCTTAAGGCCATCAAATCCCGAACACTATATGATCCTTACCGTTCATGTCATTTATTGCACACTGAGCATCCTGCAACAAAATTAACATTTCAAGTCAAAGCAAAGCCTTTATCAAACATTCTGGAATGACATAGCTAGACATCTCAGAGTTGAAAAAAATAATATATAAATTATATAATACCTGTTGATTGCGAAAGGAAACAAAACCAAAACCTCTAGAGCGCCCAGTTTTCTGATCCCACATGACTCTTGCATCCCTGACAGAGAAATAAAGATATTAGATCAGCCCACCACTAAGAGTCTGGTGGCACGCTCCAAAGGGCTAATCTTGCAATCCATACAATTTGATACATCAATAAGAATGGACAAGATATTCATTAAAAGAAATTAAAAAAGCACAAGGACTTACGAGCAACTGGAATAAACAGAAAAGCAAGCAAACAGTGTTGCGTCTGTAACCTCTGGGCTGAGATCCCCCACAAAAATGTTGAAGTGACCTGCATCCCGCGACAACAAAACCATCCAATATTCATGCTCTTCGAAAATGGCCAACCAAAATCAACAATTTGAAAACATAACACAATACCACATAATTAGAACTTACTTGATGTGTCTTCCCTCTGCCCCGTGGCATATGCCCAATTAACTTTGATAGGCTGTCCAAATCTGTAAAAAAAAACATGTCATGATCTAAGGGCGGATATCAACGGATAAAAAATTAAAAGAGAATTATCAATATGTTTACTTACAAATGCCTTCCGTTAAGAGACAGTATAGCCAGAGCAGCAGACCTTCGATCAAAGTAGTGGATAAAACCATATGAAGACTGTGAAGACAGATACATGCATGCAGCAGAAAGTGTGTCAAATTGTTAATCTCTAGTTAACTTTCGAAAATCGGATTAACCAGAGAAGCGGATACAAGAACAGTGAATCAGGTCAATCCAAATAAAATTCACCATCAATAAAGTAGTAAAGTGCTGTGACCATTTTGAAAAACAACAGTAGAATGCTGCATTTGTGACCAGACCCGAAAAAAGAAGTAGCAAGCCAGACCTTATCCTTTCTGATGAGTTTACTGCTTTCAACAGGTCCAGTACTTGCAAAAATCTCTTGAAGAAGTATCTCTGAGACCTGTGTATGGATATTGCCGACATATCTGCAATACCGAAATGATTTACGGGAAAGAAACTTGAACTTCTGCATTTCTTTCGATTACACTGGCATAAAAATATTGAAAACGAGAAACTACGAATCATAGAAACCCACATGTAAAGTAGAATGCTGGTTCGAAGATAACAAATAGGAACACAAAAGTCAAACACTTACATGCTGCGACAGGTACTGGGATCAAAACCGGGAGGCAGATTTCCACTTGGGACAGGCTCTAACTGCAAAACAAGGGAGCAGAAACAAAATTGAAAGGGAAGATAGGAAACATGAAGATATCAGCAGATAAACGGACGAAGAAAAACCATCGGAGGGAATTCGAAACCCTAGCGCGAGTGCATCAAACAATTTCTCGTCCGTGAAGAAGAAATGGAAAAAGAAAAGGTATAAAAAGCCCTTATGAACTCGAAATTTGAAACCGAGCCCTAGCTCCGAGTTGATGAACAACGACCAAAATCATCATAGAAATTATCCTTGGAAACCTCGTCCACAAACCAAAGAGAAAGGCGTCGAATCGAAAACCTGAGGCGCAGCGATGACACTAGGATGGTAGAGAGAGTGCTGCTGCATCAAAGCTTGTTGCTGTTGCTGCTTGAGCCTCGGATTCTGCATTTTCCCACTGGAGCTGTTTGTTTGCCGAGAAAATCAGATTTTTTCCCCCCTTGCTAGGTAGGGTTCAATGGAAACAGAAGAAGACAATGCAAAAAAAAAAGTAGAAAAAAAAAAATAAGAGAAGAAAGAGAAAAAGCTCTCAGAAGAAGAGAGACCTGCTTAAGTGAACAATTTATAGGACAGAGAGATACTAAAGCCACGGAGCTGTGACTCTTTGCTCTCGTGACAGTACTTCCGAAGAGGATCAAACGCCACGTGGAAAACCATTATCTTTTTGTTGGGATAATTCGACTTGATGTTATCCGTGTCACAATAATAATTTAGTTTTAGGCCCGAGTCAACAACAAAAACATTTCATAACGTAGATATAATATAACGTCGTAAACACACGTCCTTTTTTTATATATATATGAAGAAAAAATTTGAGAGATACCACCTCATTTTATATGAATTTTCAGATTTAGACCGGTTCTTATATGTTTCAAACGTATATTCAACAAAAATACACTTGACCCATAAAAACCCATTCTCTTATTTAATTCACAAATATCAATTAAATTTGAAAATTGAAACATTATGTGGACCGACCACATTCTCATTGTGGGGTTGTACAATGCAGAGGTTATAACATGAGGAGATCTACTACGTTTTTTTTTTCAACTTCGATATATTATGGGATATCTAGTTGCCTTTAAACAACTAAATGTCAACTTAGGCAAATGCCCTAAGAATAGGATACGTTCACCGGAAAACTCGCCGGAGTTCTCCATACACCGGCGAAAGATTCTGTCGCCAAGAAAGGAAGAAGAAGAAGAAGAAGACAGAGCTGTTTCTCCTCATCCTGCACTGTAAGCGTATATTGTGTGTATGCGAGTGGGTTTTTTCACAACACAACTGCTTAATTTCTCTTGGGTTGGGGGGGGGGACAATTTAAATTATGATCCCATGTTTAGAATGAGGTAAGTTCCATCTCTAGTCTTTTCCCCAACTTTGGGAATAAAATTGAAATTACACCCCAAAAAAAAAGGCAAATGGTACACAACCTAGAAGATGGGATCATCAACAACATAGCATAACCACTGGTTCACCATAAAACTTGAGAACCAAACTGACACTGAGTGAAGAGAAGAGAATGCAGGGCAAACCCGTTAGTCGAAATCAAGAAACTCCATTCTCTTCCTCATTGTCCCTTTCAGCTCACTCGCTTCCCTCTCCGCCTTTTGCGCCTACACAAGCACAAAATTCACAAAATCCCCGTATCAGATCATCATCACGAGCGTGCCACATGTTCATCTCTCCCGGCAATATTTGCTAGTCAGAGTATTGACAAGTTCATGACACATAATGCTTACCCTCCTAATTTCAGGCTCACTGACCAGACGCATATGTGGTGGAAGCTCTTCTCTCTCCGTGTCCTGGAAAATGATCAGACGGATTAGATGAGGAGAAAAGGAAGTGTTTTGTTGATGAGGCATCGCATACAATAAGAGACTTACCAGCTCGCCGATTAAAACAACATTCTCTCCACGGATCACATAGAGGCCTAGAGGAATGTCGCAGTAATCATTACCCACAATTACTCTCTCGCACGCACCTTCAAGAACCGCATTGGCTGTGCACAAGGACAAGGTAATGGTTTTATCTCTGATGGAAAAAAAAAAACTCCATGTACAAAAGCATGATGTATCTTTGTAATGTAAAATAAGGGTAGTACCGAATTGATCAAAGGAACGGAGAGTTCCCATTAACTTTTTGCCATCTCTAAGCAGCACAAGAAGCTTTCCTGCATCATAAACAACATAATCAACAACGGATGCAATGCAAGATAGTGTAATCTAAACGAAACAGAGGCCAAGTTCCCAAAAGGAAAAATATGAAGCAGAGATTTCCACATGCGGGGCAAAACAGTTGAACATTTTCCAGTAGACAAAAAGATCTGGCAGCAAGGGTTCCAGCTGATCTAAATCGCAACTATTAAAGCAAAACTCCGCAATGTCTATCTGTCCATCGATATTCTGGTTCTTTCCAAATTTCCTCTCAGGCTCTCACCCTAAAACCATTTGTAAGCCTTTTCCCTCTACATGCGCAACAGCTGCCTGATCATATGTAGCTGAGCAAGCCTAGAGTCTGAGAGGAGAGGACATTCCAGTTGAACGTAATATACAGCATACGTAATTATGTATACTCAACAAGGTATCTAATGCTTTTCCATCCCAACAGTAAGAGAGATCTTGAAAAATCTCAAGAATCGCGTTTTTTAGCTGAAACAAAATGAAATCAACGGATGCAACTAGAACACTCATGGGCAATTGATCAAACAGGAGACAGCAAAACACCCAATCGAACTCAAAGCACTCAATCCCAACATATATGACCTCACGTCATGATGAGATTGAGTCCTGAAGAGCATTCAAATTCGAGAAACATAACACTCGGGGAAACAAAGTCGTAGAAAGAGGACCCTCCTCCTCCTTCCAATTGACCAATGCACGCCAACACAAACAAGTTACCAGGATTCTAGTCGATGAGAACTCCGAACACAAACACGAAACAATAATAAATCATCAAGCTCTCAAGCACACGACGCACATCTCCGCAAAGCGCATAACATATAAATCAGAGAGAGAGAGAGAGAGAGAGAGAGAGAGAGAGAGATTACTATCGAGATAACTGGCGAGTGAAGTAGAAAGATAAATATCTTCAGGACTTGTCCAAGACATCGCCACAAGCTCTGCAAATTCCGTACTTCAACAAAATTTTCAATCTTTCCGGTAAATTTCACCTAGAACCTTCCCAGATTCCAGTTCAAGATAAAGCATCGGCTGATCGAAGATCGATCACGGTAGAAGCAGACACAGATAGAATCCTAGCGGATAAAAAAAAAGAGATAAACGCAGGAGAAAAAAAATCCCCGAATTAGGGTTTTGACCAGAAGGGATGAACAAAGAGAGTGATAAAGTTGGAGACTTTCTCGCCCAAATCGAAGGACGGAATCGGGTTCGCCGAAATTACACCCAGATCCGATCGCAACTGGATGGAGAAAATCCTCGAACCGAAATATCTATTTTTGCTTTCTAGGTTTCTCCTTCTTCCCGTGTACGATCGAATAGATTTAGGGCAGAAGCTCAATCAAGGCTCTCTTTACCAATTATATTTAAGTTGCAAAAAAAAAAATACATGTTTTTTTGGGGGTAAAAATATTTTATTAACGAATATTAAACTAAAACACAAAAATCAGTATTCTTTCATTACATTCAAATAAAATCCAACTTAAATTTACTGATTTAAAGAAAATTAAGACAAGAATCCATCAAGATATTAATGAGGATATCAGCAATCTTTGGTCTATTAGATTAAATTTTAGAGAAAAAAAATCATGTAAATATTTTGACTTTTTTAAATATATCTAATAAATATCTAAATTTTTTATTTGATCAAATTGATATCTTAGATATTAAAATATTTTAAAACGATATCTTAAATATTAAAATATTTCAAATAATATTCGATTCATAAATTTGAGAGTAATTTATGAAATCAATTCATTTTTATATTAAAAATTGTTCTCTAATTGATATATCTTAAATATTAGTATTTGTGCGAGGTTTTTTATTTTGTTAAAAATAATATAATAAGTAGAAAGGCATGATGTGCACATTTACCGAATTTAAATAATGCAAAAAAGGGGAAAATGAGAAATATACTTGGGTCGGTTAGATAGAGTGCGTCATCCAATTATAAATCGCCACGTAAGCACCACCTCAGCGGCGCGAAACTACACGGCGTTTGCCTGGAACTAAAACGTAGCGCAGTCTTTGAAGTATAAACAGGAGATTGGTGTGTTTTCTCTTCGTTGCTTGCTTTCATCAGATGACAGAGATTTCGTGGAGAAGCTCGTTACTATAAAACCCTAAAAATCCGGCTCTTAAAGATTTCTTCTTTCTCCAGGTTCGATTGCTGAAAACTTCGTGATCTTCGATCCGTTGTTGGGTATTTAGGGTTTTTTTCTCTCCTCGGATTCGTTTTTTTATATAATTTTTCCTATATATGGGTTCTGTTACTGGGTAATTGATTAATCTTAATATTCAAACTGAATAACTTGTTGCGTTGTTAGCAGCTTTTTTTTGGTGTTATAGATCGAAATTCCGTAACTTTTTTAGGAGTAGAGGTTGTTTGGTTTCCGAGAAATTGCAGGAGGATCAGAGTATATTCCATTGACGGCGAGCTAATTTGGCGCGTCATTTTTTTGTTGTCTTTTGGGTATTTGGGAATGGATGATCTTTGCGACAAAATGGTACCCAAGTTTCCAGCTTTGAATGTTTCGAAGATTCTGGCAAAAGACGGGGAATCATAAGACGCACGGGCATTTTTTTAGCTAGTTTTGGAGATTGGAATTAGCATCCAATGTAAATATAGATCTCCACGATTTTGATTAATTTTCTTTTTGGATCACGTTTTCATCTTCCTAGTTCTGCGAATGATTAGAAAGCATTTGGATGTATTCGAGCAAATCATGATTTTTGCACCAAAATGGTGTTGTTTGATCTGTTAGGGATAGGTTGGTAATGGCAACTGCAACTATGGCTACAGCAGCTGGGGCAGCTGCCCTTTTGTATTATACATTGAACCGGAAATTGCTTGCGGGAGCATCTGATGTCGACGATGAGAATTCAGATGCTGCTTCTAGTCATGCTTCGTTGAGGATTGATCGTGTTTCGCATAGACTAATCCAAGCTCCTGCAACTTGGTTGGAGACGATCTCTACTTTGTCCGAGACCCTTCGTTTCACTTACTCCGAGACTTTAGGGAAGTGGCCTATTGGAGATCTTGCTTTCGGGATCAATTTCCTGATTAAGAGGCAGGTAAAATATCTTTCTTCACATCTCGAATCTTGCCACGATGTCTTTGATTTAACCAACATAAATCTGGTCAAAGGATTATTTTTTTGTGATCATGTCAAGGAGAGACATCTTTGGAAGAATAGTTTATATTAGTTGTCCTAGGCTTTGAATATGGCTCTACCATGGCGGCAAGAAAGAGAAATATGATGTAGAATTGTAGGGTTCTGGTTTTGGGGTTCCACCATTGTTGGTGTTTTCCGAAGGTTGAAATTCACCTTGGAGCAAAACCATGATCATGTGTAAGTATCATTCTTCAACTGCCTTATATGGGTTTGGTGGAATTGACCGGCTACCAGATGTTGGAAAATGCGTTTCATTTTCCGTTCATGGAGGCTCTTATCTCATTCAGAAGTTTTCGTTATTCAGCCATTGCTCGATTTCATTAATCATTTTTTTTCATGCGACAAAACAATACAGGGACTATTACATGTGGATCGCGTCTTTGGTGGTGAAGATAGTATAGAGCTCAAAGGAGCAGAAGTAGCCTCTGAACTCAGATATCTTTTGCACTTGTTGACTCTATGTTGGCATTTCTCGAAGAAGCCTTTTCCATTGTTTTTAGAGGAAACCGGCTTTACCGTGGAAAACGTTCTTATTCAGGAGCCCAAGGCTGGGGTAAGAGATAAAGACCTTAACTTTTCCGTTTCAAAAAGTATTGGTTTTTTCATCCAGAATTTTCCGAGCAAGCTTGTTTCTTTTTATGCCCTGCAGATTTTGAAGCCGGCCTTTACAGTTCTAATTGATCACAGGACCAAATGTTTCCTTCTGTTGATCCGTGGAACCCATAGCATCAAGGATACATTGACGGCGGCCACAGGAGCGATTGTACCGTTCCATCATACCGTTGTAAACGAGGGAGGGGTCAGCAATTTGGTTTTAGGGTATGCACATTGCGGAATGGTGGCTGCTGCTCGGTGGATCTCAAAGCTTGCTACCCCTTGTCTCCTCAAGGGTCTTGACCAATACCCTGACTATAAAATTAGGGTTGCGCCATTTTCCCTCTGCCCCACCTAGCTTCCATCACCATCATCATATGATTTTTTGTTTTCTTGAGAAGAATCTCACTGATTCAGCAATCTTTTTTTACAGATAGTAGGACACTCTTTGGGTGGTGGCACAGCTGCCCTCTTGACATACATATTGCGGGAGCAGAAAGCTCTCTCTACAGCTATCTGTGTTACATTTGCTCCAGGTTTTTGGCTCGAAGCTAAATTTCTCCGATCTACTCGAAATCTGAATCTTACCCTTTTGTCAATGTATCCAATCCAGCTGCTTGCATGACATGGGAGTTGGCGGAATCAGGGAACGAGTTCATCACCTCTGTCATAAACGGAGCTGATCTGGTGCCAACGTTTTCGGCAGCTTCAGTGGATGATTTGCGTGCCGAGGTGAGAGGTTTTCTGGATTTTTGGAATGGAACATGAAATTCGGAAGAACTTATGTGGTCTGAGACACAAATGGTTGTTGTTCATCAGGTGACAGCATCGGCATGGCTGAATGACCTGAGGAATCAGATAGAAAGGACCCGAATACTAAGCACTGTGTACCGCTCAGCCACGGCATTGGGTTCGCGCCTTCCTTCCATCGCCACTGCCAAAGCCAAAGTTGCTGGTGCCGGCGCCATCCTACGCCCTGTTTCTAGCGGCACCCAGGTACTTACCTACTACTCCAAAAACAGGCCTCATGGATTAGGGCCGGGGGCAAAGACCCGAATTTCGAGCACCTGACCATACCCGGTTTAGTCCGGGTATCCAAAATTTGGGTATTTGAGCATTATATGAGATGAGGTCGGTTATAGTGTGAGGAATACCCGGAAATTGGGTTCGGGTACGGGTACGGATAATTAGGTCTGATATCGAGTATTAGCGTGGGTACCCAAATAAAGAGTAAAATAGCGTTTTGCCCTTAGATTTTGGATTCATATATAAATCTCTTGAAATTTCGGATTTCCGTACTCAAAAATTTTGGTACCGAACTGTCTAAACTCAGCATATATAACATTTATTTTGAAAAACTTTGAAATTTCATATATAAACTCGGATTTGATATTGTCGGTATCCGACCAAAACAAATCTCAGATCGGATAATACCTCGTGAGACCCGAAACATTCGGATTCAGTTCTGAATACCCCGAAAATCTCAGATGTCCGACCCTGTTCATCTATCACAGATTACATGTGGGACATTCCTTGAACTGGAACAGATTGGTAACTCAGAGTTGTTTTTCAATAAATTTATGCAGGTTGTGATGAGAAGAGCTCAGAGCATGCTGACCCGACCCACTCTAAGCTTATCCTCTTGGTCATGTATGGGACCCCGACGCAGAGCAACCGCTGTTCATTTGAACCCGAATTCCGAAAATCGTTTAGATTCCATCGGACCACCGTCGTCCTCGTACCAACCCGAGACTTCTGATCCTCTTCTTAGCCCCGACATGACTGCAGTCGTCACAAGTACATCCACCATAGAAACCGACCTTTCTTGTTACCGAGAAGAAGCGGGCGAGCGACTTGGAGCCATCGATCTCGATGAAGGCGACGATCCGACAGATATTAACACCCGAGAAGAGCGGATGACGGAAGCCGAGCTGTGGCAGCAACTGGAGCATGACCTGTACAACGATGCTTCAGAACCCGAGTTGGAGGAGACCGAGGTGGCCAAGAAGATGAAAGAAGAAGAGGAAGCCGCCATTGCGGAAGCCGGCGTAGCTCCGTCGGAAAGCCATGCCACCGACATGAAAGAAGCTCGCAGATTCTTCCCGCCGGGTAAAATCATGCACATTGTCACGTTCCGACCCGAGGCAGCCGCCGCCGCCACCGCCACCGCAGCTGAGGAGGATGAAAACGAGGGTTCTGCCCCTGACCCGACGGAGGAGGAGGAGGGTAAAGTAGGGATATTTCAGACACGGAGATCATTGTACAGTAAGGTGAGGCTGTCGCAGAGGATGATAAGCGATCACTTCATGCCTGTTTACAGACGGAAAATGGAACAGTTAATACGAGAGCTGACCGAGGAACATGCTTCTGTTTAAACTGCTTTTTTTCTTTAAATTTGCTGTGAGACTAAAAACACTGTACAAAAAAAAGAAGGCATCAGTTTTTTTAAAATAAATAAATAAAAAAACTCTTTTTTCTTAATAAATTTTGTGGTTGTACATATACCATAATTTCTTATCAAATATCATATGATAAGTAAATAAAGAAAAAAAAATAACAAACAAGGTAATTTGAATTCGGGTGAGAAATGATTTGGTTCGTTTCTTTCGGTTTTATAAAAATAAGTATCAATCAGTTGTTATATTATATTCGGTTTCAATTCCGATTTTTTTTGGAAAAAATCAATCTTTCGGGTTTTTTTAAAATTCGATTCGGCTCGATTTCGAGAAATTCGATTTTTTTAAATTGATACCTTTCAAAAATTTTAAACTATTCGAATTGAAAAAATACCATATTTTTTTATTCGGTATGGTTCAATTCTGAAGAACCAAACCGAAATAACCATCTCTTGTTTCTCTGAAGAACCTTCTAGACCGACACGCATTTTGATCAGTCAAACGAAACCAATTCCATCGTCGCCTATGACAATATCATTTAAAGTCCCCATTCTCAATATACATGTATTTATGTATATAAATAAATAAACTGTTTTGTAATCTTTTTCAATTGGAATATGCTATTATTCAATTTAATAAAAAGGATATACCGAATAAGGGGAGGAATATTTCCTGATTTTGCCACAACTTGACTCTATGATTACCATTAATATAATCATTAATCCTTATCTATTATTGCCATTATGTCGCGTCAACCAAGTGTTTGTGTTGACGTGCGTGATTATAATGCATATGATATGCGTTTTTTTGGATGATGACAATGGTATCGTCAAATCTCATATACTATGGTTGGGTCCAATTTATATTATACGATTCATCAAAATAGTAATAAGATCATTTGCAAATCCCGAATCTCCATATGACTTGTCATTTCCAAAAAAAAAACATTTGAATGGCCACAGAAAATCATTGTAGTTCTTCAATATTATTAACCGCCATGCAGTTATTATACGCAATTATTTTTAGATTAAATTTTGTTCACATGGAAAAAAAAAATGCGAAGTGTTATTTATTTTTTATTTCAAATTAGAGGTTCGCATCTTTGCCCTTTTCCGACACGCTAATGCTTAGCTGGCAAGTGGTAAGTATCCAATCAGCGGCTCCACATCGGTCCATGTACGTGGAATATCACGTGACAATCCAATGATTGTCACAAAGAAATCAACTTAAAGTCCATATATATATATATATTTATATAGTTTTAGGTGTATGTGGGATTTTTTTTACACGTATTATATATACACAGTCTGGCTCTCGCTTTGGTCGTCTCCCAGAACTCTCTCTCTCTCTCTCTCTCTCTCTCTAAACCACTGTAAAAAAAAAAACATCTTGTGTTTCATCTGCTTCTCTTTTTCATCTTCTTCTCCATAAACTCTCCAGAAATGGTTTTGTTCTGTGAAATCTTCCACGGTGAAGCGAAGGTATCAGAGTGGGAGAAAGAACGATAACAACAACACACAATTATATATATATACACACACACATAAATAGATACATACATAATATCTCCGGAGAAGCAGACTCCAGCAGTTGTAGGAGTGAAGAATCAAGCACAACTCAGACAAAAGGTTCCTCCTTTCACCTATACATACACTATATATATATATATATGTGTATATATATATATGACCAGACATGGGTTGGTGCATGTGGTGCCTTGGCACTGCAGTTCAAGTGTTCGATTCTTTATGGTTGGGAAAGATGTAATTTTTGGGCAAAAAGACTCGTATATATATACAAAGGTTGGTGTCTGCGTCCCAAAGATAGCAGATAAGGTTTTCGTTATCAATATATATATATATGTATGTATGTAAGTATTTGCGAGTGTGTAGGTGAAAGGATGAACCTTTTTGTTCTGCTACATATACAGATAACTAATATATATACATATAAATATTATTTATATATATATATATATGATTATATGTTTGATTCCGTGATATTGATTATTGACTTGTCTGTTTCTTACTGGGGAAAGATCATGCCTGCAACAACAACAATGGCGAGCGAATCGAAACCAGAGATCGAGATGGCGATATGCGAATGCTGCGGTCTGGCGGAGGAATATATCAGTTTCAGACTACAATCAAGGCTATTAGATCAGATAATGCTAAGGAGCTGGTTTTCGCTGATCTTTGTGCGAAGAAAGGGATATTTCATTATTATGCTTGTCCATACAGTCCACAGCAGAATTCGGTGGTAGAAAGGAAGCACCAGCATATACTAAATGTGGCTCGTGCACTGATGTTCCAATCAAATATTCCCATGATCTACTGGAGTGATTGTGTGAAGACAGCAGTGTATTTGATCAATAGAATACCTTCTCCTGTGTTGGAAAACAGGTCACCATACGAGATCCTTCATGGTAATTCCCCTTCTTATGCTCATTTACGATCATTTGGTTGCCTTTGTTATGGTTCAACTCACCTTAGTGACAGGCATAAGTTCTCGGCTAGAGCAAGATCTTCTGTATTCATAGGATATCCGACTGGTTATAAGGGATATAAACTCTTAGACCTTCAAACCAACGAGATTTATATTTCCCGCAATGTTGAGTTTCATGAGGACACTTTTCCTTTCCATACCCATACCTCTTTAACAGATTCAAATGTCGAATCTGTTTCAGAGTTATTTCCCCATTCTATTATTCCTTTACCTATTCCTGATCATTCAGAAAGACCAATACCAATTCCACAAAATAACCATACTAATAGCTCTTCTTCTTTCAGTTCTCATGAAACTCATTTAGACTCATCAGATAACACTTCTTTTTCAGACATACCTATCACCAATCCCTCTCGTCCAAGACGAACAGCTAAGCCTCCCCCTTATCTTTCACAATATCAGTGTTATCTTACCCAACATTCAAACTTTCAAGAACCAGAAAACTCCCTTACCTCTAAAACCACACCTTATCCTTTACAAGACTTTATTTCATATGACCACCTAAACAGTCATTACAGAAACTATCTTTTCAATCTGAACCAAGAGACTGAACCTCGAACTTTTAAAGAAGCTGTCAAATCTTCTGATTGGCAGCAAGCTATGAATACAGAGATCTCTGCTTTACATGAGAATGGAACTTGGAGCATTGTTGAGTTGCCTCATGACAAGAAACCAGTGGGATGTAAATGGGTTTATAAGATAAAGAGAAAGGCTGATGGCAGTGTTGAGCGTTATAAAGCTCGGTTAGTGGCTAAAGGATACACTCAACAAGAGGGAGTAGATTATACAGACACTTTTTCGCCAGTTGCAAAGTTAGTGACTGTGAAATTGATTCTTGCTCTGGCTGCAACACAGAACTGGAGTCTTTCCCAAATGGATGTCACTAATGCCTTCTTACACGGTGACTTAGAAGAGGACATCTACATGCAATTACCTCCAGGCTATAATTCTCCAGAAGGTACTACTCTGCCACAGAATGCTGTATGTAAATTGCAGAAGAGTCTTTATGGATTAAAGCAAGCTTCTAGGCAGTGGTATTCGAAATTTTCATCTGTATTGATTGCTGCTGGTTTTCGTCAGTCACAAGGGGATCATACATTGTTTGTTAAGAAGACAGGATCAACATTTCTGACATTGTTGGTATATGTAGACGACATTATCATTGCCAGCAATAATGATCAGGCTGTAATTGATTTGAAGATTCTTCTTGCTGAACACTTCAAGATCAAAGATTTAGGACCATTGAAATATTTTCTTGGATTGGAAATTGCTAGAAACAAGGGTGGAATATCTGTTTGCCAGAGAAAGTATTGTCTTGAGCTCTTGGAAAATACTGGTTTCTCAGGTTGTAAACCAGTTTCAGTTCCGATGGATGCGAATGTCAATCTGAAGTCTGACTCAGGAATTTATCTCAGTGATCCTTCTACATATCGGGCTTTGATTGGAAGATTGTTGTATCTTACAATCACTAGGCCTGATATAACCTTTGCAGTTCATAAGCTAAGTCAGTATCTTTCGAAACCTACAGAGGATCATTACAAGGCTGCTCAGCGGATTCTTCGATTTCTTAAGAATAATCCTGGGCAGGGTCTCTTTTATTCAGCCACTTCTGCTCTACAATTAAATGCATTTTCAGATGCTGATTGGGCACAATGTCCGGATTCACGACGTTCAATCACAGGATATTGTGTTTTCTTGGGTGATTCACTGATTTCATGGAAATCAAAGAAACAACAAACAGTTTCAAGGAGCAGTACAGAGGCTGAATATAGGGCCTTAGCGAATACAGTTTGTGAAGTTATTTGGCTTGACAATTTGCTTAAGGATCTGGACATTCCACTCATACGACCTGCGAATCTCTTTTGTGACAGTAAGTCTGCGATTTATCTGGCTTCTAACTCTGCATTTCATGAGAGGACGAAGCACATAGAGTTAGATTGTCATCTGGTTCGAGATAAGCTGAAGGAAGGGCTGATTCGGACAATGCATGTATCTTCTGACAATCAACTTGCAGACTTATTGACAAAGTCTTTGTCAACAACTCTGTTTCATTCATTAGTGCAAAGATTGCATCTGTCAAGCTTATTTCTTCACCAGAATTAAGCTTGAGGAGGGCATATTAGAGTGTTAGTTGTATTTTCAACAGGTTGTTGCAAAGTTATAATGCGGGTCATGTATTTAAAGGAGAATACAGTTGAGAAATAAAGTAACAGAAAATTTTCCCACACTTTCTTTCTCTTTCTCTCGCTCTCTCTCTCTACTGCGATTGTTCACAAAGCTTTTCTGATAGAATATACGACGGCTTATATCGAGAACGTACGGAGGCTCTACGTCGGAAAATGGATCTGCGGCCTCTGCTCCGAAGCCGTCAAGTACGAGATTTTCCGGCGAGGAGGAGGAGGAGTCTCCGGAGTTGAAGAGGCTTTGGCCGTCCACACGAGGTTCTGCGGCGAGTTCCGGTCATCGTCGTCGTCATCGGCGGCGGAGACGACGGTGGATGTGATATCGGCGTTGATGCAGATATTCCGGCGAAGGAAACTCGATTTGGTGAGGTCAGCGCCCATCGACCATATTTGACATTTTCTATAAATCATTTCATATGGTATAATATAGTTATGTTATATTTAAGACAAGACATTTAGAAACATGTTCGAACCAATGTGGACCTATTCTAGCCAAATGACAACTCTTGACAGTCATATGGTGATGTCATTTCGATGTTTTGTAAGGTCGAAAAAAAAACCTAGCGACATTATATGGTAATTATAATCTTACACAAAAACGATAAAATAAACTGCAATATTCGCATATATTACCTAAAAATCATTTGTTATATAAAATCTTCACGTTTTAGTATAATTTACATAAGAGAATATTATCTAACTACACATGGACCACAAAATGTATGTATGTATGTATGTATGTATGTATGTATGTATGTATGTATGTATGTATGTATGTATGTATGTATGTATGTATGTATGTATGTATGTATGTATGTATGTATGTATGTATGTATGTATGTATGTATGTATGTATGTATGTATGTATGTATGTATGTATGTATGTATGTATGTATGTATGTATGTATGTATGTATGTATGTATGTATGTATTTCGATTAGTCATGCACAATTGGGACTCTTCAGTCAATCATTGCTAATATATAATATTGCTAACATACATACAAAAGGGTAGGTAATTAATGTGGCGTGAGTGTATGTATACATATACGTATTTATATGAATTTGATGATTCAGCAATGACGATATAAAATAATAAGAAAGACATAGAAACAAGTTCATACGGTCTGCATGAATCCTCGAACTCCTATTAACTTGACAGATTGGGAACAGAGAAACATCATGTGCTGCCCATTTCCTAACTAACTTTACCCTTAATTAATGAATTTCCCTCCTCATTATTTTCTTTTTTAATTATAATTAATTAATTATAAAAACTTTATAATTAATTATAGACAATAACATACAAAACGTTGATTACCGTAATCAAGACAAACGCTAGGTTAGCAGGTTAGTCAGCTGCAACTCATTTTGATTACAAAAGGAGATAATTTTTCTCTGTTTTTTTTTTAATTCGTATAAAAAAATCGAACCATTTTCTTTATTGTTACTTATTTCATTTTTTATGTATACAAACCTTCAATATATGAATATATAGAGGGAGATCAGAACGAATTTAACCCCGTTAATTCCGAATTAAATCACTTCTAAATTAGGTAAATCTTATTTTTTTAATAGATACTTATAATTTGAACTAAGGTAGAATCTAAAATTAATCGAATTAAAACTATTTATAAAGTTGTTTTACTCAAAATCAATGGATTATAATTAGATTTTAATTTATTTTAAAATTTTATCAATATTTTCTATGTGAACCCAACACAACCTAGAATAAATCGAACTAGAATTAATAACCTTTCTTAACCCATTCTAAAACCAACCACTTGGAACTAATTTGGTACCATATCAATCATATAATAAAAAGGAACATAATCTTCTTCACATTAGAAAATTCAGATATTTCAAATACGATACAAATATATTTATTCATCCGGAAATCAAACTGAAAATAAAAAAATACTAACAGATCCAAAATATTATATAATTTCAATTCGGAAAGAATATTATACAGGAAGGTCACATGTCACGTGAAGGGACACTGAACCCCAAAAAAAAAAACTTATATTATAAATGTATGTATAAATAAGTTATAGTCCATTTAGCATCCCTAAGCACATCTCGATCTCTTATCATAATTCTCTCATAAGAAACAACACACACATTTATGCATATGGCCTCCACCAACTCCGCCGTGCCCTGCTGGTGGCCGCAGATCCGCCGGAAAATTCATCTCCGGCGGAGGAAGACGCCGGCGATACGTCTCGGATGGAAGCCACGTGGCAGGCTGTGTTCAGTGAAGAGGATGGTGAGGAGGATGAGGCTGAAGTGGGTGAGGCTGCACTACGTGAGGATGGTGAAGGAGATCAGAGGGTATTATCGTAATTTAGTGAAGGAGTTCGCCGGCGCCGGCGCCGAACTGGAGACCATCCGGCGGCGCATAGCGGTGGAGACGGCGGCGTTCGCCGTCCCCGGTTTGGGACTCTCCTTCTCCTCCATGTCCGGTCACGACCGTGCTCGCTACTATTTTTCTCTTGTATAGTTTTGTTTTTGTTTATTTCAATTAATTTATCTTGAGTTTTTATTTCTTTAATTGTTGTGGTATTTTCTTATTTTCCTTTTTCCGTTTATTGTTTCCGATTTCTTAAAAAAATAATTGAAAAATTATCTTACACAGGATTAATTATTGGAATTGAGAAATATCATAGAAATCAACAATATTAAAACTATTGATCATTATAACGTTGAAATGAGTGATTAATTATTTATACATACAATATAGTTAATATATTTGATTGTCAAGAATAAACTCTACCTCTCTTTTTATATTGAATATATATAAGTATTTACTAAACTATGATTAATTAATTCTCACGTAAAGATCCTTTCTTTTACTTGAATAAATGTCCTTTCTTTTCACCGATTTACACACACACACACATATATATATATATATATATATATATATAATTTACTAATATCCTTTTTAAAAAAACACAATTAGTTTTGAAAAAAAAAATGTTTTATACGGAAAAATATATTGAATTATTTTTTGTATACAAATATATTTTCTGGACTATTTTCATATTATCATAGAATAAGAAGGTATATTTTATAGGTAACATGATAATTGAAAGAAGCTATCTTTGCATTGCAAGAGATATTGTAGGCGATTAAGTTAAATGTGCTTTGCTGGAGTTTTATCCTTTTTATCGATATTTTAATCAACGGTTACATCATATTCATTCACCACTTCCCGAGATTTATTTATTAACTATAATTAATCATCATAATTTGATATTTAATGTGAATAAGGCCAATGTCATTAAATCATTTTAATTAATTACCACTTCCCACATGGGTCTCGCCAGGAAATTATTGCCAACAGAAATTTCCTAATCAATTTTTTTTTTATAGAAATTCTAACGTTAACAAAAAAAAATATTAAAGGATATTACCACAACCATCATTTCTAAAATAATTAATAAAACTTTTAATCAATAAAAAATCTAGAGCACCATACTATATCAAAGATTTATTAAATAATATCTTACATTTTCTTAATTTCTTCTAATAAACGAAATAATATATAAAATAAAGTTTTTCTTATCTTGTAAAATAGTTTATAATTTAAGTGAGATCACCGTACTAACCTAACATCTTATCAATTTAAATCATAATATTTTTACATATTTTATAAGTTCTCTACTAAGTACCGAATCCCATATACAACTATACAGATATATATAAACACTAGGAGTTGGGTTGGACTTGGACCAACACTAGAGATTAGACATACATGAAATGATGAAATGATATATAACTTATGGTTAGGAAAATAGAAAAATAACAGAGAATACATAATCAAATCCAAAAACACACACTTTGTTTGTTCCTTGAACCAAATAAGAGAACACAGACAACAAAAGTACATTCAATCATATCAATCCAGACCATAACAGGGTACACAAATGTTCCAAAACAATCCCAACCCCTTCTCACACCATAGTGTATGTACGGTGACTTAGAAGAGGACATCTACATGCAATTACCTCCAGGCTATAATTCTCCAGAAGGTACTACTCTGCCACAGAATGCTGTATATAAATTGCAGAAGAGTCTTTATGGATTAAAGCAAGCTTCTAGGCAGTGGTATTCGAAATTTTCATCTGTATTGATTGCTGCTGGTTTTCGTCAGTCACAAGGGGATCATACATTGTTTGTTAAGAAGACAGGATCAACATTTCTGGCATTGCTGGTATATGTAGACGACATTATCATTGCCAGCAATAATGATCAGGCTAGTGTGTGTATATATATATATATATATATATATATATATATATATATATATATAGCTTCCATGAAAGCAGAGAAGCAAAGCAGACATGGAGGTAGAAAGCGAACATGTTTAGAGCAATAATACAAAAAAAACAAAGTAGCAGCCAAGGATGACTTCCCGTCATGAAATTGCCAACACCCTCTATGGAGCAGAGATTGAGCGCTCTCTCTCTCTCTCCCATCAGGACAGAGCAGAGACATAAGGGTTCATGGGTACCCAGAGAACCTGAACTGAGGGTGTTGGAACATGTCGTTGTTGTGTTTCGAGTTCATGTCCGTACAAGACGTGATCGAGCCCGACCCACTGCAGATTCCCGAGGGGCGGATTCCAGGATCTGGAGGGTTCTTGGAGAAATGGTGCGGATGAACGTTGGCGGCGGGAGAAGGCGGCTTCGTTTCTTGAAGCTTCTTCACGTTGAGGAATCGCCCTCCCGAGCCTCTTGCTCTCTTCAGCGCATGAAGATGGCGAGACTCGTGAAGGTACGGCTGTCAAAAAAAGATCATGGAAAGAAGGGTTTTATAAGAGAATGCCAACAGGTTACCCGAATGTTGAAATATCGAAAGCATATAGTCTATAACTTGAATGGCTCTAGGTCGTTGCAGAAATGAAACTTTTTAGCATTTTCTTATCGTTTTCACGAGCTCGTTAAATCTCCAGAAGCAATGGGATGAGAGAAAATAAAGAAAAGACATACTCTGCGGATCTTGATGAGCTTGTTCTGAGCTTCAAGCTTTGCACGATGCTGCCTACGACGAAGGATTGCATGGTACTGTTTGGCGTTAACGTAAATGGGTTCGTTCTCCGGAAGGTTATGAGGCAGAGGCATTCTAGAAGGGATCAAACCCATCATCTGGGGATGCGGCATCTGCATAGATTTCGATAATTTATACCTCGTAGATATGAATTGTGAAACACCGACTTGAATGCTACAACCACACAGCTATAGATAAGTACAGTCTTGAAAAGAAAATGCACGATATGTAACGAGTTTTCTCCTCAAAATACAATCTCGGCCAACTTCCTCGGCTTATGAAATCTATGACGTTGGCGGGATACAGCAAAGAAATGTGTGTTACCATAGGTTGTGATGCATATGCAGAAGCCATGAAACCTCCGAAATGTGGTGGTGGCTCGGAGCAGTGAAGAGGCCAAGAAGCCTGAAAGAACAGATGATAACCATCATCGTATTTGCACTCTCAGTTCTCAAAATCCAATCTACTGTGAAGTTAGAAAGTCCAAGATGATTGACTAACTTGAGCAGGAGGAAACACAGAATCTTGAGACACCATTGATGAGGTGGACTTTGAGTAACTTCCAGAAGGTTTCCCCGCATTTTCCTCGTACCCTGCATATAGCAATATAGTTTTGACACAAGACCGTATAGCTTCAAAGTTGATTTCACTCTCTTTACAGCAATTCAAGCTCTTACAGATCTATAGAATCATGGGCATGTGTGAGTAAAGTGGACCTGAAAGGTGGGCAACGACGTTATGCCCATAACGGTTATGTTCCCCAAAGCTCGCAACTTCGGCAGATGATTGTCCAGTGGATTGAGTTGAGGAAGAGTCCTGGTCCTGCAACTGAAACCCGGATTGCTTCATCTCGGGGAAATGAGTGGACATAACTTCCATCGTCAAGCTTAAACTGTCTGTCATGGATGATCCTTGGACATTTGAGTTGCTTGACACAGAGTTCCCCCAAGAAGGGCAAGTGACAGTGAAAGAAGACGTGTAAGGTGAGTCTCTCCTATGGAACTCTTGCATTGTCTGAAAAACCCTACTTCAATAAGCTATTGCAGGAAAGGTATTATGTGTCCTCAGCTCCCATGTTGTATCAGTCGCCTATAATCCAACAAAACTGAACCAGTGAAGATATATTACATGATCTAAACGCATATCAAACAAACAAGAGATAGAAAGAAGAGCAACCATGGCAGAAATCTGAGTCCTGGATCCAAATTCTAAGTTCAATATATACATACAGAAAGATTGATCATGGGTTTTGGCACAAAGAGGGGTTTGAGGAAATTAACTTAACATGCCATATCACAAGTAAAGATCCAAGCTTTACCGGTAAATCAACGCAACATATCAGATCAAAACCAAACGAATTCACAAGTAGATGGAACTAACACTGCTACAAGGTCAAGAGAAAAGCACCACATGCAATTGGGGAAAAGGGGAATTTTTGCCCAGAGAAAAATGAAAAAGAAGCAAACTTGGCTTCACTGATTAGATTTCTGAAATTCAACCAACATAGAGAGAGAATCAGAGCAAATCGATCCTTGTTCAAGTTGAATCATTTCAGACATGCAAAACCCAGAAAAGAAAAGGCCAAACTGGTTTGAGCTCTACTCATCCAAGAGAAGAGAGGATATGAATCAAGATGAAGAAAGCACCCAGATTTCTCTCAGTCATCATCAAAAAATGATTTTTTTTTTCCTTTTCACAGATCAGAGTATGAATAGAGCAAATCGCAATCCCCTAACAACACACCAGAGAGAGAGAGAGAGAGACCCTTTGGATTTGGTAAAAATGGAGAGGAAAAAAATAAAGGGAAGTGGCGAAGTCATGTAAGCTTGAGATGGTGCATGTCTCCTTCCTCAAAACATGGCTGTTTCCTCTCTCTCTCTCTCTCTCTCTCTCTCTCTCTCTCTCTCTCTGCAAATAGGGTATTGTCTAATGGCTAAAAAGACATACTCGCCTGACTTCTTTTTTCCCTTCTCTTCGCCTTTCCCTCTTTTTTTTTTTTTCTTCAGCAATTCCAATTTTTGCCATCACCATATGAACACTGCCTTTTATCTGACATTAATTATTATTATTTTTTGTTTTCATTATTAACCACCGGTCCACCGTTGTCACCCTTTTGTTTTCTTCCTCTTCCTTTTTTAATTGTTTCCACTTTAAGGCATTTCTTAAATTTTTAGCCAAAAAAGGTTCTTCCTTTAATTAAAAAAAAATATATCATAAAATCAAAGAGCATACTAAGTAATAAATAAAACATATAGATAAGATAACCCTTCATCTTTACTCAAACAATAACCCAAGTGTATATATAAATAATTGTTATGAAAGTGGATACTAAAACATTTACAAATTCTAGTAGTTTTCTATTTTTTTTTCAATATTATCATATAATGCATTCGCATTTCTTTAAAGCTTCAAAATTCAAGCATTAGGCTATTTTTTGGAGAAAAAAATGGGTCTTTAATTCACTCAAAACTTTTTCAAAACCTCGTATTTATCATTTCAATTTAGTTTAGGTTTAAAGAAAAAAATAATAATTTACCTTTATTTTTCAGAATTTTAAATTTGTCCAGTTTAGAATATCTTTTCACATATAAAATTTTAAAATTAACCGTGAGTGCTTGGAATCTGTATGCGGACATATATGTCCAAACGTGGCACGAAATAACATCATCTAAGACAAGACAAGGGTCAAGCATAACATCATGGTATAGTGGAAGATAATTATTATTATCACTATTATAATTATTATGATTATTACGAAAGTGTTGATTAGGGAGTAGATTTTAATTATAATTTATTTTGGTATTAATTCAATTGTTTTAATTATATAATATTTTCCTTTTAGACCTTTTCCATAATCTCTTTAGCCGCCACCTCCCTATTCTTAATTCACGCGTTATTGCATACGCGTGATTTACACGTATAATTTACCATTTTATTTGACACACACATATATATATATATATATGGTTTATGGTTTTTTTATTATATTTTAAATTTTACTATTTTGGTTGGTAACTAAAAGCAGGAATTGCAGTGGAGGGGTTATCAAGGTCTATTAAATGCTTAATGAATGCAGTTCATTTAATTATTTTAAATGTTTTGTGGGTTGAGTAATTGAGATTTAATGCAAAGCCAAGGAATCCTTTTTACACCTTTTTTTTTAATAAAAAATTTTAAATGCTTATTTATTCACAAACACAAAAGAAAGGCCATCCTATTTTAACAATCTGCTCAAAGTGGGTTTGAATTTGATTTGTATTTCCACGATAACATTACTCTCAACATTTCTAAAATATAAAATTAAATTCTATTCATTTTAAAAGTTTAAGTAATAAAAGTAATCAAATCACAAAGAACACAAAATAACAGTGCTTAAACAAATAGAAAAAATAATATAAATTCTGGTGATAAAAACGATAAATAAAAGATAATGATGATTTTTTTTTTACAAAAACAAAATTATGCAAGCGAAAATGGAACAAATGAAAAGAATGATGTAAAAGCCAAAAAGAAAACAGCATATTTAAAATTTTTCTCATTTAATGTTAAAATTTATAATCGGGAAAATTATATCTAAAAATCACATTTTATTAAATACATTACATGCACGCACCTGTTTTAACGACAACAACGTAATAAAACTCGAAAGGGGCATCCGAACGAAGCTCCACGCGCTTTTCTTTAATAAAAATGTGAAATGAGCGAAAAGCGGGGATATCGATGGACTATAGTCCAGGACTTTGCGGCGCGTGAAGAATACTCGCGATGGCTGCGTGTGTGAGAATACAAAGTGGGCTGATTTCTCGACCTATGATCATCCTCAAGTTTTTAAAAGGCCCAATTATTAAAGGCCCAAACAAAATTAAGATGTAAGAGCCCGTAAGAGTACTTTTCGAGTGTTTTTCTTGTTGCTAGAAGAAACCATATTACAATTAGTATAATAAAAAAATATATATCTGATATCTAAAAGATTTAATAATATTAAATACTAAAAATAACAAAAAAAAACTATTAAAATATTCGATTATATTAAGATTGGAAAAAAATATTCAATTTCGGGATATCAAAACAAATTCACAATTGATGACATAGAGTAGATCTATAGGACAATTCCCTGGTAATAAGTTATGGCAGTTTGCCCGTGTGAGCAAATTCATCTGATGCTGTCGCTAAATCGCCCTTTGAGATGTCGTGAACATATGTATATATAAACATACGACAGAAGCACGCCTTAATTCTGCCTGAAACAAACAGGACGCTCCCGAGCATTCTCGTCGGAGATTGAAGAGCTCTGATCCGTCCCCAAGTTTCTCCGAGTAAACAGGGCCACGACCACTGAAGGGCAACAAACCGTACCCATGCTTCGTCATATGCTTTGACACCACTTGAAGCTTTGTTGCCATCAGAAGCAGATGTAACACCGAAAGTCAGATTGTCACGTGAATCCAATAACATTTCTTCCTCATCATCATATCCCTCAACCCTGCAGACTGATGAGTATTTGGCTTCCTCATCCACATCAAATTTATCATTAAGCTGAAGGCCTCTTTCCTGATTAAGGTGCTGTCATGCATAAACCATTAGAACCTTGGGATTCGACACTCTTGAAATGCTGATATCAAAAGGAACATGGGGAATTCACCTCTGCTATGTGAATATCTCGGGTGCTTTCACCCTCAATCTCTCTGCCAATCCTCTCGAGTTTCGTGGTATAAAATTCCTCGTCGAAGGTGCTCTCTGCACCAAACAGTGCTTCATTGACATCAAACTGATCCCAGCCCCTAGTGGCACACAAGACAGCAGCTGGGCGTATTAGCACGAGCAAGACATGATATTAAGGGTCTCAGGGAAAGCAAAACCAGATAGACATAAACAAAGATGCCTTAGAAAGATCCAGGAGCCAGTAAACACAGTAGCCGTGTGAAATATGCCTGATTATAGTGATCCATTTTTTAACTGCACTTCCACAGGATGCCCAATCATACATGTTGCAAGATAGAGAGATACACTAACCGATCACAATAACTTTTCTCTAAACTTGCAGCCTCCCCACTCACTGCCGCACAGGTATCAACAAACATCAGAAGGCAGCACATGACAAAGTTAAATACCATATGACAGATAAATCACCTGTAGGTGAACAATCACCTGTATCTGTGCTGGTGTCGTCACAGAGTGAGACTTTACAGGCTCTGCCTTATTCATCCCGCCCTCTCTTTCAACCCTTCTATGTGAAAATCCATTAGCTGAAGATCTTGGGTGTAAGATAGGTTGCATTCTCATGGTAGCTCAAACAGTTCAATCTGTGAAATAAGCAAAGGAACATAGTGTTCAACAGATAAGTAAGCCCATTAACTCCAGATCCGCAAGACAGCGACCTTCTCTCTTATCTGTCAGGTCTGACAGCTAAGTGGACCCAGTAAGCAGTTGAGGTCACATATGCGATCCTACTGGCATCAAATCACTATTGCAAATACTGGTGCAGAAATATTAAGACAAATGATACATCAAATTCACCAGCTTGAAATAGTCAAATTAAATTATATAACTATATATATTTTTCCGCTTTCCTCCCATAAACTACAAAGTGATAAGAATATTCTGCGATTTCCACAAGCATTCGGCAAACCATGAGATATATCTGAAATAAGAGAAATGAAACCATACAAAAAAAGCACCAAACAAACGATCAACCAATGGTCCAAGATCGCAAGATTTTTGTTGGCAACGACATGCAACTTGACAGCCAGCTTGTGTTCCCAGCACAAAAAGCAAAACTTTATGCAGTGAATGATACAATTTGTTACTATCCAATCAAAGCAAGACGTCAAAGGAAAACGATGGGATCAAACCAACGAGGATCTTCTAATTCTGCGAAATGAAATATTTAGAAACTACGTAATATAAAACAACAAACAGCCACGGAATATTCGATGGAAGGTTGAAACTTTTCATACGGGTTCATCTCCTCGAAAATAGGAGAGCGACAGACCCACGAGGATAACAGCAACCACGACACTCGAAATGGAAATGAAACCAGAAGACATTTACGCGATTCACAATGGTGATCTCCAATACATACAACCCTGAAGCTAGAGTGCGTTAAATCAAACCCTAAATCAACAATCCTAACCACCAAATTCCCAAAAATCGGAGCCGATCCCGAAGAACAAATCAAACGGCGAAAAAAGGGAATGTAACGCCGGATATGGAAACCCAAGAAGATGATTCTTGCCTCAATAAGCTGAACCAACGCGCCTCGAGATGCCCGCAGAGAACGAGTCCGGTGATTTTCGAAGCAGGCTATCGACGATTCGAAGGGAGTTTTGAAATTCCTCTCGTCGCCTTCTCTCTGTTGGAGATCTCCCGCCAAAAAAATGAGAATCGCCGAGATTTCGACGCCGGAGCTCCGGCAAATCCACCGTGAAGCCGAGCCTCAAGCTCACCATCCTCTCCTCTCCGAGATCGAGCTCTCCATCCACCAAGCGGAATCTGTCTCCAAGGATCACCCTCCCACCGAGTCCCTTCCCTCTTCTCTCAGGTAAGCGCTGACTCGGCTGAGTCAACTCGCTCCCTTCCCCAGCAACTCTTTCAAGCTCCACCTATGGAAGCTCAGCTTCCGCCTCTGGAATGCCTGCGTCGACCTCTCCAACGCCGCTGCCCTCCGCTCATCTTACCATGAATCCGAAATGATCGATGCCTTCAGTAAATTTGGGACGAGAGGAGGGTATGATCTCCTGCGGTTGAGTGTATGAGTTAATATAAGCATATTGGGCCTTCTTCTGTGACCCGTTTCTCTTTTGGGCTATTAGATTATATTTCGCCGCATACAATTAAATTGAGCCCAGCCCATATTAAGAACCTGATATATATATATATATATATATATGAATATTTAATATATATATATATATATATATATGAATATTTATTTTATTATTTTATTCAGATTTTTTATTTTAAAAAAGTAATCTATTCTATTTGTATATCAAAATTAATTTAGAATTATTTTTTAAATTCACTTTCTTTTAGTTTTTTGTTTTAATTGATTCCTTTAAAAAAAATATTTCAATATCATTCAAACAAAATGGTTTTTATCACACAAATCATAAAAAAAAAAAACTTTTTCTACTTAAACCTTGGATAGATGACTTTACCTTAGCGGTTAAGTACGTCCAACTTCATGCAACTGCTTTATTGTATAAATAATATTTGTAATACACATGATGATATGATGCTTTCTTTAGATTAAAAAAAAAAACAATTATTAGAAGTTTTTACAAACACGAATAAGAACAAAGTTTCAATACTCAGATTATAGTTTCTTTTTGTTTTTTCTCTCTTTGCAAAAGCTGAAAAAAGCGACTCCGAATAAACTTTTCAAAGAGACGTGCATAGACATATATGTATATATATATATATATTTATGATACATTTACATCTACATAATTACTCTAAAATCCATATAAACGTTATATTATTACCAAACATATAATTATTTTCCTAAGCAATGAAATACATCAATATAATATCCAAACCGTTTAAATAACCATAAAAATTAGGGGTGAACGTTTCGGGATTCAGGTCAGAATTTTAGCGGTTCGGTTTGTGAACGGTTTATTCAATATTCTAAAATTAGTATTCTAAAATTTGTATCAAATTAGTACAGTATGTTATTCGGTTCGATCCGGTTTTGGTTCCGGTACGGTTCGATTTCGGTTTTTGTTAAAAGAATTTAGATTTTCTTATGAAAAATTCAGTTTTCGGGAATTTTATAAAGTTCGGTTCGGTTTCGAAAAATTCGGTTCTATAAAAATCATTCCGTTCGAGAATTTTAAACGGTATGGTCCGAAAAAAAATACCAAAATTTTCGTTTTGGTATCGAAATGCCCGCTCCTAATAAAAATTAAATTGTGTTATATGTTTATTTTTTGTAATGACATCTATATAACAAATATATATATATACATATATACGGATTAAATGGATGGAGTTTTTGAAGTTTTAAAAATCTAAATATTAAAAAAATTTGACAATAAAGATTTTATAAATTTAGTTTTTTTTAATTCAAAAAACTGTTTTAGTGAACTTCATTTTTTAGATTTACAAATACTAAAAAAACAAAAATCAAAAATCAAAAGAGAAAAATCTAAAAAATTAAAAACTTAAAATTAAAAAAACTAGTACCATTTATAGCCATAATTTTGATGGAGAATGGTATTCTCTTTGTTATAAACGATTGCAAATATGTTGGTGACTAAAAATAATAATATAATAAAAATATATTCCAACAAATATGGTATTATATTTTATACAATTTGTGCACAAATATGAAGTGGAAAAATGGAGTCAAAGTTTAAAGGATAATGGTGTGGCTTTGCTTAATGATGTTAAAAATGTGTACTTGAGGCTTAACTTTGAAAAGTTTAAAGCACTAATCAAAGTGCTTATTGTTTCTTATCCTTCAAGGAGACAGAAAGGTAACCAAAACAGCATTTTTAGGCTTAGCTGTAAGGGAAAAAAAACAAAATATTATAATATTTATAATTTCAATATTTAATATCCCTAATTAATCATTTCCTTATTCACTTTTTTTTTCCATTTTTCTATATGGAGATTATGAAATCTATAGAAATGAACACGTGTCAATTGGGGGGAAATAGCATAGATCCTGCATTTTCCAATGATGCAGCATTGTTTTTGTCATTAAAATTTATTATATTCTAATTGCATGTTATCTTAGTTTTTTATATTTAGCTTTGTGAAATAAGGTCTAATGAACAACCATTATAATATAATGTTGTGAAATAAAATCTAATTACATTATGTGGAAAGTAACTAACTACCATTATGATTTATTAAATTTTACTATTTAAAACATAAATATCGTTTTCAATACACAAATCAAATCCAATAATAATTAACTGTATCAATATAATTATAGCCTAAGATCTGGGATTGGATATGATATTTTTTCATAAATTAATGGATTTTTTCAATATAAATTTAAAAAATACATAAAACCCGAAGAAATATAATTTTTAAAACTATAATACAAAATAAACTTTGCAAAATCTAAAATATCAAATGCAATAGCTTTTTTTTTTTCTTTTGAATTACTGAAAAAAAATATGTTATCACGTGGAAAGAGTGAGAAACAAGACAAATCTAATGCAAGGAGAAGAACCATGAAACATAAGAAAATCTCTTGCAACGTAGGATTCTCTCAGATTCAGAAATAAAAAAATAAAAAATTGATAAATAAAATCGAATTTGAGAAGAAGTAAATTAAATAGGCGAGTATCTGATAATATCTCGCTGTAAATCTGTATTTCCCATTAATTACAAATTCAGCTTTTGAGTAATAAAAAAACAAGATTCCAATATTTTTAAAAATCTCTAAATCGGAAATAATTCCCAAGTGTAGTTAATTCTCGCCCGTTGCTTCACGGCGCTCCTGTGAATATCTGACACGAAAACTTATATGCACACTTGTAATTGTATACATATATAATTTTTTTTATTTATCATTATGCATATTTCTAACATGAAAAATAATATTATAATATATATTATGATAAGTCTATTTATTTATATTTATTTCTACCTATTAAAACATTTTAATAATAATTAAATTTTCTGAAGAGATTTAGATAGAATTTTGAATAATAGTCACAATTTATCCATTATTTGGTGGATACGTGTCAATATTTAATCGCTATGAAAAAAAAAATTGAGGCCTTTTTTGTATAAATGAACCGTTGTTTTCTTTCCACATTAAAAAAATTTCCCTAAAAAAAGAATAAAGACAAATATTAAGAAAAAGAATAAAAGAAAATAAAGAGAGAATATTATTTGAATTTTTTGCCCCCATTTATTCACTTTTCCAAAGGATTTATCGTCAATCCCCATAAGTGAAAAGACATTTAAGTTTATATTTAATAAAAGAGCTTTCAAATGATCTATATGTTCTATCATCGAAAATTTTGGAATTTCAAAATATATAGTATCATACAAATTATGTTTAAACTAGTTGAATCAAATGTATACATATCCCACGAATTTTAAATATTAGCGAGATGTTCTGTTATATATATTGAAATGCATATTCATGGAAAATAACATAATTTTTTTTTTGGTAAAATTTGGCCAAGGTGGGTTCGAAAATAACATAAATTTTGATAAGAAGAAAATAAACAAGAATGAAATCCCTTTATGAAAAGGAAAAAAAAAAATTGAAGAAGGACCGATAAAAATAATATATGCGTCACACTTTATTACACCTTATATAGTTACATAACACTTTATATAGTAAAATTATATAAAATAATACAATTTTTTTCGAGTTTGTTAAACTCAATCTCTTAAAAATAAAAAATAGAAAAAATAAATTAGAACAAAGTATCTTAAAAAAAAAAACAAAAAACGCATGTATTTTATTCCACGATATCCCTAAAAAAATCCCACATAATGATACACCATTACAATACATAATATCATACTAAAAACACTATAGTCCAATCCAATCCACATGATGTTGCAATATATAATATAGTTAGAATATGTTACTCTGTTCGTTTATACATTTATCGGTCCAAAATAATTACCCTTTAAAGTTATACATTTCTTTCCTTTTCTGCAACAAAGTTATATGTGATTATATATATATATATATATATATATTTCTCTTTAACAAATGGTAAAATAAATAAAAAATAAAAATAATGACAAATGGATACAAAAAAAAGAAGAAGGTTATATAGCAAACACAATGCACATATTTGTGCGCTAACTTTTCCAGTGTCCAACGAACTCAAAACCCAAATCTCTAAGTCTGCCTCTTTCTCTCTCACCAAATCCGCAGCCTCTGTCTTAGCTCTGGGTTTCTAGAGAGAGAAAGTGAAGAGTGCTCTTCACTCATTCTCTCTGTCAAGCCTGAGTCCGCAGAGACCGAGCGCAAGAGAGTGACTTTAATGCGAATCTTTTCTGGGGTTTGATCTCCAGATCCTGTGCGTGCGTGCCCTAATTTCTCGCCCGCGTAACGGTCATCTACGCCCGCCGCCATTTGAGTTCTCCAATGGTGTTTCTGGGTTTCATATTTCCTGATGGATCTCTGTGACTGATAAAAAAAAAAAAAAAGAGTTCTTGTTCCTGTTGGAGAAAGCAAGGCGGAACCGGAAAAGCAAGAATTTAGAGCGACTGCTGTAACCGTAAGTAAATTGTGTGTATATATACGTGCATTGTTTGTGTATGTATGTCCTGTGTGCAAATGGGTCAATCTCAGTGATGTTTTCTCCCTTGTTTCTGGATTTTCCGTTCGTGTTTCGCAAAATCTGATCTGGGTTTTCTCCCTTGGTTTCAGGTCCTTTTGATTTTTGTGGGTTTTTCCCCGGAGGAGAAAGGTTGAAGGGCTGTGGAAAAGGGGAGAGATGCTGACGTGTATTGCGTGTTCGAAGCAACTAAACGCCAACAATGGCGGATCTAATCATGACAAGGAACAAGAAGAAGACGAAGGAGTCATTGGGACGCCCAGGACAAAGCACGCGATTAAGTCTCTGACGTCTCAGGTAGAGAAACCTTCTTTCGGGTCGCTTTCGGAGAGCTGTTTGGTTACTGAGAAAATGAACGAAAATGAAAGAAAATTCTGAGCGGGACCATATTCGTTTCGTTTGGACGCTTAGAGCAAAAACAAGAAAAATTTGTTCCTTCTGTTTGATTGAGATGGGCTCTTGGTTTTGTCTAATATCCTTTTCCTCAGTTCAAGCTTATGATCCCTTAGCATAATTGGAAATTTTCTTCCCTTTACTTTCTCATCCACCTTCCTAGATGCCAGATTTGTGTTGGAAAGAAAATTGCATTTGCTGTCAATCTTTATGAAATTATGAACCTTTTCTTTGCAACGTTTGTTCGTTCTTGATTCAGATTAAAGACATGGCTATAAAGGCTTCAGGTGCATACAAAAATTGCAAACCATGTTCTGGGTCATCAAACCGGAATCACAACGGGAATTACGCTGATTCGGATGCTGCTTCGGATTCTGGAAGGTTCCACTATGCGTACCGTAGAGCCGGGAGTGCAAGCTCGACACCGAGGATTTGGGGGAAGGACATGGAGGCCAGATTGAAAGGGCTTTCGAGCGGAGAAGGAACGCCGACATCCATGAGTGGTCGGACAGAATCCATAGTGTTCATGGAGGAGGATGAGCCTAAGGAGTGGGTTGCACAAGTCGAGCCCGGCATCCTCATCACATTCGTATCATTGCCACAAGGAGGCAATGATCTCAAGCGGATTCGGTTCAGGTAAAATCTTTATTGACCGCAGATTTGAAACCGAGATATATCATTGACGTTGTTGCAGGTTTCCGATGACAATTCTTGTTTGATTGATCTGACATTGGAGACAATGATGAACATAGATAGGCCCTTTTTGGTTTTGGGATCTGTTTGTTATTGCATTTTCTTCAGTCCATTGAAGTGGTCCCTGATTTATACACACTGAAATTTCTCTGTTTTCGGGTTTGGGTCTCACATTACATGCTCTATGGTTTCGTGGTGTTTTGATCTGTATAGACACGACAAGTTCCCGCCTTCGGTTTCTTTTTTTTTTTTTTGTTTCTCAGATTCCCTTAGACCATGTGATTTGGTACTTAGGACATATATCCACAAGCAAATGACCCTCTCCTGTCTGTTTCAAACCAAAAAAAGCACCAGACTTTATGATGCCAAAGCAACTTGGAGCCGAAATTTTGTACGTAGGAGATTTTCGTGAAGATTACCCTTTAGAGAAGAGAAGATTTCGGTGAAGTTTTTCTTATATAATTGTGAAGGTGCAGAATCTTTTATCATTAGATTTGTGCTGCACCAATGAAATCTTCCACCTTTGTTCTTCAAGATCTTGTTGCTATGGATTTTATGACAAGCCTGCAATATTGATATGTGGCTAGAGGACTGATGATTCAGTTTCTGAAATTTCGCAGTCGTGAAATGTTCAATAAGTGGCAAGCTCAGAGGTGGTGGGCAGAGAATTACGACAAAGTCACGGAGTTATACAATGTTCAGCAGTTTAATCAGCAAAGCTTCCCACTTCCAACTCCTCCTCAATCCGAAGAGGTATCATGCCAATTTCCCTCTGCAACATCTCATTATTCTCCGAAATTTGTTTTCTTTCGCGAATTCCGTGTATCGTTTTCGGGAATCTAATACGAGTACTTTCGGCACCATTTTTGTTAACCAGAGCTCACGGATTCAGTCTACCAAGGACAGTCCCGTAACTCCACCTCTTAACAAAGAACGTCCTCGTAACATTCCGGGAAAAGGGTACTCCTCATCCGACTCTCTGGATCACCATCCGACCCGAATCCGTCAGTGCTATGACTCTACTACTAATGGCATTGCCTCGACACCGAAACTCTCCAGCATCAGTGGCGGGAACAAGACCGAGACATCGTCGGTTGAAGGTTCTGTAAGAAGTAGCTCGTCGAGGGAAGGAGAGCCCTCAATCAGTAATGCCAGTGACATGGAAAACGAATGGGTGGAACAGGATGAGCCGGGCATCTACATAACTATCAGAGCTCGCCCCGATGGCACCCGCGAGCTCCGACGCGTTCGCTTCAGGTATGTAACTCTCCCGTCGTTAGTTTTCGTCGTCAACTAGGCGGAAGACTTAAGATTAATCTGTTTTTCATTCAAATATCCGCGAATACCCGGATATTTTGTCGGATACCCGAAATCTTTGAATACAAGTACGGGTATCAAATTATTGATGCTCGGAGTATTCACATACGGATACGGATATCATGAATATGTCGGTACACGACCTGTGTCCACCCTTACTTCCCATGAACGCGGATCTTGCGGACGCTCAAAGGAACGTTTTTTTTTTTGTCGTTGTTTCCGCAGTCGGGAGAAGTTCGGGGAAACGCATGCGAGGTTGTGGTGGGAGCAGAACAGAGCTCGGATTCAACAGCAGTACTTGTGATGCCCACTCCTTCACCTCTCTCACACACACAGACCAGAGACAAGATTTTTACTTTGAATTGAAAGTGAGAAAGCCACACATAGAGCTAACCCTTTGTTTCTACTTTGTTTGTTTCATATGCAACACTACTTTGATAGTTGGTGACTGTGGATCTCTCTCCTGTTATTTTTCTTTTCTTTATATATATATATATATATATATATTAATAATCACAATTCGGGGGGTTGATGTTTGAATCATATCGGTTATCGGAATAATATGTAACTGTTGATATGAAAATTGAATGAGGTAAATGTTTTGAAAAATGGATAAAATCGAATTTAAATTTAATATATATATATAAAAGTAAATATTTTCCAAGCATCCTCGGATGATGATGATGAGGTTGCGGCCCAATGGTCTTTCGAGGGCCCTTCTCCACCACAAGGGGCCTAGACTCAAATCAAATCATTTACATGTCTAATGGATGGTTCATTTATTCCTCCATGTTGATCTTCTTTTATCCAACAAATAAATCTATTTCTATTCAGTTTTCATCAATTCTCTCTTCTTTTTCACAACGGTAAATCTCATTAAAATTCTTAAACTTATAAAATAATAAAAACTTGACATATATCATTATAATTTTCAAACTTGTTAATTGGTTTAAGAACGAAAACTTGACGACATTGATCCACAAATTTGTTTGAAAATAAATTTTAAAATTTATTTTCTACCATTTTACAAATGAAAGAATTTGAATGGGTTTTATCCTTTTCACAATCACAATGACAGATACTGCTTAATTTATCACCACAATAACATGGACATTTCTCTTTCACATGAAAGGCTTTTCTTGGGATGTGAGTATGTTTTTGTGTTGTTTGTGTTCTTTTTTGAGTTTTGTGTGTGCTTTTCTTTCTTGGGATCTCCCAACTTCTGTCTTGTAAGTTTCTTTTGCCCTATCTTTCATACCCCCCCTCCTCCCCCTAATTTCCATAAAGCACCTTGATTCTTGAGCTTCACCTCTCTCTCTCTCTCTCTCTCATGAGAGTTTAAACCATTTGAATCATGGTATATATAGAGATTCTAGGGAAATGATATATTGGACTGTGAAAGCGTGTTTCACATTTGATTATATGTCTCATTGATTACTTTTTGTTTTAGTTTGCGTTGTTGGCAATTGTGCCAATGTTATTAGGTCAACAATCAAATTGAGATTTTTCAATATTAGAACATTAACTTTGAGAAAACTATAACGTTAATTGTAACTCTATATAATAATTGGCATAATTAAGCAGGAACTAGGGGGTTAATCAAGTGCCTCCTCATGATTCCTATACCCTGTTTGCTTAAAGCCTAGGATTATAGAAATTTGGTTGAAGCTATAATCTCCCTACTCTATTTAAATTAAACGATTAACTCTCTTATGGGTTTCTTGCATTCAATGATTTCTAACAACCAGCCCTTTTTGTATTATTCTAATTAAAACCACCTGTATTAGGGTTAATTAATTAATACCTTTTTGTTTATAAAAATTGTTTTAGGTACTATCATCCAAGCAAGGGAAGGAAAAAAAAAGTGTGCGGAGTATTTTGGCAAGGGTTATTATTCAATCAAATTTATAATAAAATACAACGAATCATGAACTTTAATTAATATAAGGTATAAAAGAGAGAGAGAGAGAGAGAGAGAGAGTGGGGAGATACCTAGAAGCTAGGGTTCATCAATTAGTAGGGCTTGGGTTATATATAGATGACCCACGTATATAATCATACAAATGAATCCAAGTCCTGTGGGGGAGAGAACGTGGTGTTATACATTCGACCGGAGAGCTGATTGCTCGTGTGGCAAAGCCACTGCCAGAGAGAGAGGGTTTCGATGTTTATATATATATATATATATATATATATATATATATATTCCGTATCATCTTAATTAGAGTGATGATTTCTCATTTCTTTTAATGATTGATTTAGCATGGGACAAAACCAAATTACACTGATTTGTTACTCCACATGTTAGGTTCATCACTCAATTTGTTGAAATCAAACTCATTCCTTTGACTTGAAGGGTTGAATATATATATATATGACAGAATCTACAAAGAAGATCCTCATATCTCACAAGGGCATGTGAGGTCTTTCGCTCTCGACTTCTGTAGCCTTTGTGTTCATGCAGTTATGGTTATGTATATACAACGTTTGGCCTATACATATATATACACACACATATGTGTATATATATGTAAGTATTAATTATTCGACCGCAATCGTGTAATTATGTCTCGTGGTGGTTATATGAAGCATGTTTGATGGTGTGATGTGTCAAATCCGAGAAAGATAAAGAGATAATGGAGGGCTTCATCCTCATCATCCACCACCCATTGTTGAATTCCAATTTCATCTTTCTTGTTTTTTTTTTTTAAATTAAGAGGAAGATAATATTATTAGCCATTGACATTTTTCCTTATAAGCCCTTTAATTTGATTTTCATGAAATCGCAAGATAAATACTTGGACCGTCTTTCTACGTTGATTTAAATGGAATCTTCGTGTGCTGCATGCACAAATCTCATATGATATGATGAATGTTACCCACTTCCCACCACACATGCGTGCACACCCTGCAACTCATACTTTCTCTTTCTGGCACACTTCGTGTGTGTGTGTGTATATATATATATATATGTATTATAGATGTATGTATATGTGAATATGTGTACATAATTAAGCACACTCACACACATACATACATATATATATATATATATGTATATAATGCATAAGAATAAAAGTGTATACGCAATGGGTCCGTGTAAAGAGAGGCTATGAGTGTGAAGTTTCGTGGATTTGAAGGGACGATATAATAGATTCGAAACTAATCGATTGTACGTTTCTCAATTGTGATATCAACTTTCACAAAATTTCCTTGTTTTTTTTTTCCTCAAGTTTATATTGCACAAAAAGTATTTACCTTATAGTCTCATATAAGGTAATAATAATAATAATAATAACAGTAATAGTAATAATAATCTGATGTTGACGATGATAAATACTAACCAAAATTAAAGTATACTAACCAAAAATGAGAAAATCAAATTAATTAATTAGGAGATAATTAATCATTTCAAATTAAGTGAAAATGGTTAAAACAAAGGATTTCTTTTGGGTAAAACGGCAAGATAAAGATTACGACAATCGAAAACAATCCGATACGATAGTTATTATAATAAATAAAATGATGGAAAAGGCATTATCAAGAATTATAAATTACAAAATTTCATGCAAAACCATGGAATGTGGTAGAATGGTATTTTAATTTAAAAAATGTGACGTTTAGAGATGTGTTGGGTCAATTTCATACAGTGAAATTAGGTGATGTTTGCTGTATTAGCTGCATAATTATATAAAACATCTCTCTTGTAATAAAAATACGATGTTTTTTCAAATCTTTCAATTGATTTTGTAATAAAAATAGTGATGTTAGATATGTGTTGGGTCAATTTCATACTCATTATACTGTTTGTTCACTTCAACGTTCTGTTTGGTCTGCCTAATGGCAATACCATGTAATATTAATATCGAATGAGCCCACTATTTAGTTATTTACAATTTTTGTTTTTTTTTACTGGTGAATAAAAAAAATGTAACGATATCAAGGAAATTATAATTTGAAAAATAAGATCATTATTATGATATTTACAACATTTCTAACTTATTATTAATTATAAATCAACCCATTTTTATATAATTCTATATGAAACCGAAAGGATAGATAAAGATTAAATGGGTGTGGTAACATTTTATTACAAGATTAGTGGTACGCAACACAATTGTCTTTTGTTCATGAGAGTGTTGCTGCTTTGGTGTTAGACAAAAAATAGAAAGTCAAATCATGGCTTCGAGTCTCTCGGAGCCGCATTACTTGACTGTTCATTAAGCCTCTTCTATAACTAATATTTCAATTCACAACTTATTATAATAATAATAATAATAATAATAATAAGATATATTATTATTATTATTATTATTATTATTATTATTATTATTATTATTATTATTATTATTTCTCGGGTAACGGGTACCCAACTCTTTCTTTTTCTCTTTTGTCCCATTTTTCTTTCATGTTTGCCCTACAAATTAATTGTTTTCTTAACACTCTGGCATAAATCTTAGAGGGTATAAGTGAAAAGTACAAATTATATCTTTCTAATTTGTGATTTAAAGGAAAATATAATAATTTATAAAATTTTAGCTTTTTCAATGTTGTCTGATTGTTATTTTCTATTTACATGTTTCTTTTTACAGAATTTTGATTGTCAATGTTTTTGAATTTTGAATTTTAAAAACCCAAAAACCAATTCCATTCAATCCCTTTATTTGATAATTTTTTATTGTTATGAAATTAATAAGACCCAACAACTAATTTATAAAAAAAAAATATGCGGTTACTAAGCAGTGAATTTTGAATTTTCCATGGTTAAAGTTTAAAATGTAAATAAAGTGTTTAAAAAAAATAATAATGCTTTAATATTTATACGTTTAGAAAAAAAAAGATAAATAAAATGCCACGTGGCAATGATTACCACTCCCTCGCTCTCCTCCTTGTTACTTGCTCTTTTTAAAACACACTCCGCTCTCAACAGACTCCTCCTCCTCGGAAGCTCAGGCGTGCCCTCTTCCTTCTCATTACTCTCTCTCTCTCTCTCTCTATCATTTCGACCTCCATTACTCTGTTCCCAAGCTTTTCTTCACACGTTCCCAACACTATCATTCCTTCTCCTCCATTGATTCTCCTATAAGATCTCTTCCATGGAGGCATCGGATCAGCGATATCCCTTTCGCAATCGCAGAGCACATCCTTCCTTCTCCTCCACTCTCCTCGATCAAATCTACCGCTCCATCGACGATCCCGACTCCATGAGGAAGAAGAATCACCTCCGTGGATCTGATCCCCACGACGTCGCCCACAAAATCATCGTCCATCGCCGCTCCACCGCCGCTGATTTCGATAGATCCGCCGCCGATTCCTTTTTCTTCAAGCACTCCGGTTCCAGTTCCTCCGATTCCAGCGGTTTCTCCTCCTCTGAATCTGATTCCTTCTACGGGTGCTCCAGATCGTCCCGTTCGCCGCCGGCAGGCCG